ATCCAAATCATGTTTTACGTATATTATTGTTTATTGCCTACTTTTGTTGAAATTTTTTTTATCTATATATATATTTATCTTATTTTTCTATTCTGTATGCATCTGTTCTACTACAAGGTTTACTCGGTGTTTTTTGGGTGTTGCATTTTTTCTGAAAAGAAATCGACTTGAACAGGTAATTGAGGTAGGTCATTTTTCTATTTTCTTAAGAATTTCTCATCAAATTTGAAATACCGAAAAAAAAAACAGTAAAATATAAGAAAAGTAGGTATTATTTAACATATATTACAGCCTTTTTTTCTGAGCAAAACTTATCTAATAACAATTTTGCTCCAACTTTATATGATAGCAATATTTCTAAAAGGAAATTCCACTATCGATAAACTTTAAAAATATAATATTTCAATTTTTCCAAGAGTTTTTCCAGCAAAAAAGAAAACCGGGATGAAACGTAGGAAAACCTTTAAAAACGTAGGAAAACTGAGAAAGTCGGTACACATGCATTTTAATAATAATACATTGTGATTATATTGTGGATTAATATTATATATAGAAGTCGAATAAAATGTGTACCGGAATTCAATCTAAATGGTGCTTATTGGTTTACATTTATTTATTTAAACTTTGAAATAATTTTTCATTACTTATATATGAGTAATATTTATATCATAACAACTATTAAAAGTTAAAACCTACTTTCACTTGAATTAATCTTCGTCATATTTTATACGCATTACATTAATTAGACACTAATCAATTATACACGACAACAAAGACATTATGGATCGGGCATATTATATTGAGGATAAATAAATGGGCGAAAACAATTATGTTAGGAAATATAGAGGGGAACGGTGGAAAAGGTGCAAGACCAATAAATCCATTAAAATGGTTGTGGGACCGTTATTGTAGTCTTTCATGATCAACGTTATTCTGTAACGTAAGCTCGATATCACCGGTTTATTTTTGTCTATTCATTAATTATGCCCAGTATTGTGTCGTCCGCAAAATATTAAGTTTAGGCGATTCCATCCTCTTAAATTTGATGTATCGATTGAATTTCATAAAAACTGCGAATCGGAGTTTGAAAGGCAAACTCAATTTTAATAATCCCTAAATTATTAATAAATATTGATTATAATTAGATATACTGCTGCAGTACACACAAAATTTAACACAAAGTGATAATATGTTAAAGATGTGATCCATCAATGTTGCTTGCATAGTTTCATTGTTTTTACACTATAGCAATAGTTTAAGTAATAAAATATTATTTTGAAAATGTATACATTTTTTTTAGAAAATATGGACGACATACCATACATAGATGATGATGGTGCCATAAATGACTTCAATTGCATACCAGGTGACATGAACTACGGTAGTAAAAATGATTACGACGGTATTTGGAATTTATAGAAGCAAGAAGAGCCAATGTTAAAAAAATTATTGTTCATAAAATTTATATGCATTTTCCCTAGAGATATTGGGAAATAAAATTTATTTTAATTTATTTTTTTTTGATGTTGGCACTTTTGGCACCCAGCAACAAACACGAGTATCATTTTATGTTATCCAATTGCCGATAACTTCGTCGTTATTTATTAATTTTATTCAATAGGGTTTGGTGCGAGGGCAACACATTTGTAAATAAATATTAAGTCTTTATATTCATCTCACTATTGGACAAAAATAAAAATAAAATATATTANGAAATAAAATTTATTTTAATTTTTTTTTTTTTGATATTGGCACTTTTGGCACCCAGCAACAAACACGAGTATCCTTTTATGTTATCCAATTGCTGATAATTTTGTCGTTATTTATTAATTTTATTCAATCGGGTTTGGTGCGAGGGCAACACATTTGTAAACAAATATTAAGTCTTTATATTCCTCACACTATTGGACAAAAATAAATATAAAATATATTATGTCTCTGTTCATTAATAATATCGAATGTTATGTCTTTCACATAGCGCTACGCTTAGTCTATTCCGTTTTATTTGCTGCAATATTTAATAAATTAAAATAACCAATTTATATTAATGTCATTGTATTAATATAATTAATAAAATAACTTTTCTTCCCAGTTAAAATATTTTGTACATCGGCCGTAATAATAAAATTATTTATAACGAGATATTGGTTTACTTTATGACTCGGAGTGGGGTGAAGATATTGACGTCCGTATAACTTTTGTGAAATAAATTACTATAAGCGGCATTCAATTATTTTAAAATGACAACTTTTGTTCTAATAAAACAAAATAAAAAAAAGATCTATCACTGGGAATGGAAGTGGCCACTGTTGTAAGTTAGAAGTTGGGAATGTGGGATACATAAGGTTCATAGTATTTAAATATATAGCGACGATAAACTATTATTTATCGAGTATTCAGTCTCTACGTGTATTTATAACCGAATTACACCAAGACACACCCAGCAAATAAAATTCCTTTATCAGTCACAAGAGGATCGAAAGTTTTAGCGTAATACTTTTAGAAAGTAAATCAAATATGCAACATAAACTATACTTTCTAAATTTTTCCATTTCATCTATTTTTTTAGTAGAAAACGTAGTTCGTATTTGAATTAAATAATGAAATCCTAAAATTGTATGTTTTCCTACGTTTTTTTTCCCAATTGAGTGTTTTATATGATACCATAATACTTTACTATATACAGAGTGATTCACTAAACCCTGCTCATCAAAACTCTTGGGAAAAAGTACTATTAGTATTTAATAATTAACTATTGTAATAAGTAGTTTTTTAGTGGTGAACTATTTAATAACGTATAGTATACTATTACAATAAGAAGGTTTGGTTTATCGTTGTTAACAGGTATTCATTATATCAAGTATTGTGTCTCCCAAAAGACATTAGGCGTTGGTAAGGTTAGGAAATTCCGTTCATCTTAAATTTAATGTTATGTTTTATGATTGTATTTAATAAATACTGCAAAATAAAGATCGCTTAATTTATTAAAAAATAAAAATAACATATTTAAATTTAAAATGCTCTAATAAAATAATTGCATTCATTCTGTGGTATACCATACGTATACCACATATATACCACGTATATTCAATATTAATATATCCAATACGAAATGTATATATTTTATAAATTATGTAAAAAAAAGTGCGGTCATTTTTAAAATTAAACGACTAACACAGTGTTAAAAAGATCTGTCAACATACAATAATTAAAAATATGAACTAAAAATACAGTACTGACCTCGATAACATACAAGGGGGTGCTGTGTATAAATATTGATAAACAATTTATTTATCGGAATGCATAGACAGCTTGATACATCAAGCAGCGGAAAGTCCAAGACTACAAGTGCTACTGTCACAGAATTCGTATACTTTATTAACGATGTTATGAAATAACCTAAATCTAAGGAAGCAAAACAGAAAAATGGTGTAAAATATACTTATAACAATTGTTTTATGTAACATATTTCACTAACTTAAAAGTTCATTATTTGGTTCATTCAGATTTATTCCGAAAATCACAAGTGAACTCACCTAACTCGATAATAATTGCCTATGTAATTTTCCTGTTTAATCTATTTTTTTTCGTAGTGGAAATACCTGTCAAGACAGGAGTTGATATGGAGAAGAAGCCGTCACATGAACAATTGAAATTACAAGGTGAATTTAACTCTATAATATAAAAACTATATTGCATATAAAGGTGTCCCAAAAAGATATACCAATTGTAATATCTCCGGAGAATTTTTAAATTACTCAATTGGATGAAGACTACAAATATTATGTTGCAATTCATTTTTTATGTTTCAGTAAACATTAAACAATTTATCGTTTTATTTTTTTTAAAATTAGATGAAAAAAGAACATAGATATTTTGACAAATAGAGTTTGTTAGGGAAAGAGTTCAGAAAAAAATAACTATACTGTAATCGTATTCTTTAATTTATTTTTAATATTACAATTAATTGACTGTTAACTTCTTTAACTGATATTCAAATTTTTTTTTAAAAACCGAGAACTTCATGAAAAAAAAATGTTGATACGTCAGAATTTTCGTATGAATAAACTCTATAAAAATAGTTTTCTTCAATTTTTTTAAAAATAATAAAATAAAAAGTTATGTTTTTAAATTTTTTACTAAAAATAAATATTTATTGATATATAATATTAAATTATAAAAATTGAAACAAAATTTTTATCTCGATTAGTAATATATAAAATACAGAATGTGATTATCTTGATTATGTACGGAAAAAATTATTGAGATACACCGTGGTTGCGGATTTTTGAATGATTACAATTGAATATATATTCTGTACATAAAAATTGCTTAATTTCTTATTTCAGTCTTAATTTATACTTACAGAAATAGTGTGCACAGATAACGGGAATTATATGAAGACATATCTGAAATATGAATCGAAAATTTGTAAAGAAATTACAGGGATGATAGGCACTCCAATGGAAAACAATATCCTGAAATCTCCTTTAGATAAACCTGTTTTCGACACTCAAGATAAACATAAAGGTAATCCAAAATAACACGGTAGCAACAACTTAATTTTAAATTAAAAATGTGTTATTTTGTTTAATTTAATACAGTTTAAAATTAGATACACGAGTAAAGTATTGTTCAACAAATTTAATAAAACAGAACGAATAATAACGTAAAACCGTTATTAGACCGAATCTACATAGTATGATATCACATACATTTGTTGAAACTTTTTTGATTTTGGAAATTATTGATAAATTAAAGAGTGAAAATTGATTTCAATGAATTTCATAATAATCGAGAAATTAATATATTACAAAACTTCAGAAATTTACGACAAAAAGTTTCATAATTTTTATTTGCATTTTATGTCAGTAATCTTAACCCAGCATTTAACTACAGCGTCTTTTCTGGAAGAAAATTTGATCTGATTAACACACCAAATAAAATTTTGTTAATTTACATGAATTATGTTTGATTGAAAAGCGTAATATGGTCTATTATTTATTATTTATATTTTTGGCAGCTCACCATTGTGCATATAACGTTTAGAAATAATAAGTTTTTCCGAATTATTTTTTGGTTTAAAAATTTTAAAAACAAGCAACTCAACAATTCTAAATATATGTAATTTTTAGTCGTTTTTATTTTCGGGGGGAAAACCACAACCTATGTAAATTTTAGTGATTTGATTTTTAAATAGTATACATTCAAACCTTCAAAACTATATGGGATATTCATTAAAATGAATGTTGGTGCTTGCATATTTGGTTTCCATTAACCCACGGACGTGATATTCCACTTTTAAGTATCGGTGATGGGAATTTAGTAATGAATCATTATTTTTGTAGCATGCGGCGTTGTTCGGTGACACAATATGACGAATGTTATGATTATTGTTTATAGCAAAGTAGCTATAAAGTTTAAATACGTTCGAGTGAATTGCCCATGATATTTAGTAAAAAATGTAATCGATAAATTAAATAGAAGGGGCATTCATTATTCGAGAGAGATGCACTCTTCGTAGTCAAAACATGATAATGGTTAGGAAATACAAATTTAACACGACGGCCGGCGCCTTTGTGACATTTGCCGTAGCCAAAACAAAATTATTGCTGAACTAAATTGGTTTCATTGTAGTTTTCTGATGTACAGATCACAATTCTTCGGTTCTAAAGTGTACGTCCTATAAATCAAAAACTAACGGGTTTTTCTGGGATTTCTCGCGCGTTTTATTCTTGCCAGAAATCTTCAAAAAGAATTTTTCAGAAACTTGTTTGCGTCATAACAACATTAACACATAACTCGCATCATCAATCTCTTTCACAAATCTGTGATATAATCACTAGATCTGGCAGTAAGCAGTTTGTTATCTGTGATAATTACATTATACATTTTTTGTTATCTAAGTGCACACAATTTCGAAGTGTTAAATACATTTAATAGAATCTTTGATATAATATAATTGATTTGTGACTGCCATCCAATGACTCCAGAATATCTTGCGGATATATGTAGGTAACTTAGCACGCCAAAACCGTGGGGCGGTAAAACAATTTTTATGTATTATCTGTTAATCTATTTGAACTCGAAACCCTTTCGGATTTACGACTCTAAATTATTTCAATCATCAAGAGGAAGGTCAACAATATTTCAACATTAAAATTTATTTTANTTGATAACTTGGTAACTTAGCACGCCAAAACCGTGGGGCGGTAAAACAATTTTTATGTATTATCTGTTAATCTATTTGAACTCGATCCCCTCTCGGATTTACGACTCTAAATTATTTCAATCATCAAGAGGAAGGTCAACAATTTTTCAACGTTAAAGTTTATTTTAAGTAACACTCTGTCTATTTATGAATTTTTTAATATATATTTTATATATGTATCACGTAACATTATATTATATTACGTATAGATACCTAAATTATCACATATTTAATTGATCTAGCATATTTAACCACGTTTTTACATTTTAAAGTACATCTACAATTATCTTTACTTTTCAATTATGATTAACAAAATTGAATGGTTAACTGGATATTTAAACATTATTAAATAGGTACATGTTAATTGAACGCTTCTTTGCAAAAAATATCTCGAGCCCTAGGTATAAGTTATCTTAACTTATATTATCCTCGGTATAAGGTTAATAATGTTCATTGATACTAAAAATCTATAAAATTTATTAGCAAAACAAATATTAAATTAAATTATCCTCTTGCTTCAGATGAAATTATAAAATGCGATATTTTGATAAATTCAGAACATGTAGATGAATATCCACGAGCCGTTGAATTATATTTGAACAACAGTATTTTGTTTATGTTAAATTGGCACAAACAACTATTAAAATTGAAAAACACTGTGGCAGAAATAATGGCCGGAATCGTATTGATATCGATCATATGGTGGCTATTGTATTTGTATTATATAATATTAAACTACAAATCTACAGAGTATTTTAATAATACAATTATTAATGAAGCAATGAATTATATCTACTTCATAATATTATATGTGATCAGTACGGTTGTCGGGAGAGTGACAAAATTAACCGTCTA